TTCATCTTACTATAGTATGTGAATAAATAATAGTAATTGGAGAACCCTCTTGCTAGCTGTTTTGATATAAGAAAACTTGTTGGATCTCCTTCTTCTGTCGTTCTAGAGAATTGAATTAGCATCACGGAGGAGTTTACAAGCAGCATAATTTTGCCAGTGTTAAATTTTAATTTTATGAAATAAAAATTGGAATTAAAAACAAATAACATAGAAATTTAAAAGACAATAGCATTTTAATTCTGCATAAATTTTATTGCCAGTGCAATATAGTTATCTTTTTGTTATTCCTTTTTAATTTACAAATTTATGATTGTGAAATTGAATATATATAAACGTTATATTCAGATTTGAAGTTATGGTTTAATTATAGGTGTTAAATTATTTTTTCTTGGTAAAAATTTAAATATTTATTAATAAAGTGATATATAAACACCGATCATGACATAACATAATAGAATACGAAGACACATTAGGTACTAAATTTACTAAAATCATGAAAGTGAATAAGAATTGAACAGGGTTTAAGTAACAATAATATTTACTACTCATTATTATTTTTTTTTTCTTATTGAAAAATTAAGATCACAAGTTTCATTATAAAAATTTAAATTTGAAGTTAAAGAGACGCATCTACTGTTCGGCAGATGGAAAACTCGCCTTCCCATGAGCCATTATATATAGTAAATCTAACAGTATGATTATTTAATCTCTCAAAATTACTAGGAGCTGTCAAGAGAAATATGATAATCCTCGGGGAAGAGACCTGGCAATGGTTAGGACCCTGGCCTTATGTCAAAATGCCATCTTGCATGCAAAGTAAGCAAGCTCTTCTATTACTGTTGTTATTATTATTCATAAGGTAAGCAAAGTTTAATCTAGTTTAAGAATTACTTCAAGTGCTAATCTAATGTTTCTTCAGTATGAAAAGATCTTGCAAGCTTCTCTTATCTGATACACATCATGGAGACTCCCCAAGACTTCTCTTTATTTATAAGAGATGGATTCCAACCATTTTTATAGTCAAAGGTCTATTTTCCTGTTTTCTTTTTTTAAACAAAATTTTTTTCTTGGTTAGTTTATATTTAAGTACATCAATCTGAGACATCTTCGGTGAAAAAGATGAATGCATGCTTAAAGTTTCAAGATCTACTTGTAGTAATTAATTTCCGTTGTGTCTCTGGATTGCTCATTCTGGTTTGGTTGTTTGGTTGTACCGCAGGTGATGAGCGTGGATCATTTCAGTTGAGAACTTCCCATAGGTCTCACAGAAGTAGCAGCTCAGTGGAGAAGAGGATGGCCAAGTTTTCCATCGCTTTTCAATACCTAGTTTTGGAAGGGATCTTTGAGGAAGGTGAAGAGTCATGTTCATAAGTATAGCGTTGGATTTAGTTGTTCAAAAGTTAAGTTAGTTTTTCATATATCTGCCAAAACTAACTACGTTGGAGACAAAAATGATGAAATAGAAATGGAGATAGAGAGAGTGATGAAAAAAGTAGAGACTTAAATGAGTCAAAATTCAAAAACTAAATTGGTAATTAAGTAATGTTGATAAATTTGGCACTATAAATTAATGTATATTTTAGAGTAGGACAAAAGGCCATGTAACTCTAACCCAACAAAACAATTATGACATCAAACAAGATTAACTAATTAATTTACACCTAAAATAAAATTTTAAAGTTTTTTTACTATTTATTTTTATTCAATTTAATTTATACTCATAAATATATATATATATATATATATATCAACCATAAAGCCAAAAGAACAAGTACAAATAATAAATATATGTGTAACTACAATAGCCCATATATAAATTGATCCAAAATAAAATAATCTTTTGTTACATAATTTATCATTTAATCAATTCCTTCCATTTATTGTAGGGCATTATAAGAAATATTTTAATATGATCCTTTTTTAGTTTGAGATTTTAAATTTGAAATATTTTTCCAGAAACTTGCTACCTCGGGTTTCAAATGTTAATCACACATTCACCATGTCGTGCTTATGAATTTTTACTCTTTAGTGATAAATATCATGCATTTTGATAATATTATATATATATATATATATATATCAATAATAACACAATTAACTTGTTAACTAACGATTATACATTCAATACAAAAATGTCCAACTTAAATCCCCAAGAGAATATATAGGTCCAAACAAAGGATAGTTAAAAAAAAAAAAAAAAAATTGAAATGTAAAAGGTGCAGAGGAATGAGATATTTGGCAGTTGACAGCTGTAATGAGGTTGATTTGCTCCCCATATATTTTTGAAATAAAGCTTTTTTGGAGCTTATGTTATGGGCATGTCAAACATGCCCTTTGGCACCACATGCTTTTTCATGCTCCCTATACACACCCAAATTATACGTATCATCATCATCATCATCATCAACTTCTGTCAACAAAGACAAATTCTATTTATTGCTTTTAAAACTCTTTCATTCCACCCAGCTCATTTACCTACTATGCTTGCTCTCAACACTAAATAATCTGTTAGCTTAACCTTAACCCAAATGTATATATATGTATAATTATACAAAACCAAAGCTTATATATGTCAGTGGAATTCCCAGAAAACTTATGGGATTCATTATTTGTCACACCTTACATTTTTCTCTTAGCCTTTGATATGTTTAATGCATCAAATCCTACACTTTAATCAACTTTATCCAAACTCTTCCTTACAAAAGAGATGGAGGATGGTAACAGATGATTTGGTTTTTAATAATTTTTTTTTAAAAAAAAAAACAAGAAAAGAAAGATAACAGCCAAGAAACACAATAATGCAGATTGTGACCCACAAGACAAAATGAAATCAGATCAAATGGTCCACCTCTTCTCTTGACCAACCAGAGTCTTTCACTAATTTCATTAGTCGTATACACCTAGTCCTAATTCATAGCTCCTTACTATTTTCTTTTTGAATTTCCAGCACAAACCCAGTTAGGAGAGAAGAAAAAGAAATGAAATTTTCCAAAATCTGTAGTTGTTTTTACTTACACCTCAATCAAAAACTGTGTAACTGTGTTAACATTGGTACAAGCTCATCGCTGGAAGGTCTATCGGCCGACAAATCTGATAAGCACACAACAGCAATTCTGACTGCCATCAGCATCTCGTCTTCCTCCACTTCTTCCCCAACAATGGTTTTGTCCAGTGCTTCTCGTGCGTCTCCTGCTTGTTGCAAATGTCTAAGCCACCTTCCAAAGCTTCCACCATGACCTGTTTCCCCGAAGAAAGGATCATTTGGATCTTTACCAGTCAAAAGAACACCCAAAATCATCCCAAAGCTGAAGATATCACTTTTATCCGTGTACCTGTGGAACCCATCTCAGCATTTTCCCAACAATGAATTTGCTAGAACAAGGAATTAATGATTTTAATACCTGTGATTCTGGAAACATTCAGGAGCAGTGTAAGCACTGTTTAGTGTATCAAAATTAGGCATGAGTTTAGCCAAAGAGCAATCCGTCAGTCTAGGCTCAAACTCTGAATCCAACATCACGTTTGTTGGCTTCAAATTACAGTGAAGAATCTGAGGAACACAAGAGAAGTGAAGATAATGAAGACCCTTTATTATCCCCACAGCAACCCTCAACCTAACTTCCCAGCCAAGATGCAACTCAGTCTCTCTAACCCTCTTCATGGTATCTTCAAGACTCCCTGTAATCACATAATCATACACAAGACATAATCTGTCAGGCTCCCGAACATAAGCCCTTAAGCTCATCACATTTCTGTGCTTCAAACTTGCAAGAACCTCCAGCTCCTGCTGTATCCGTCTCTTGGCCGACTTGCTCTGTGTCTCCATGTCAAAGGGTTCCAGCTTCTTGACTGCAATCGCCAATCCATTGTCAACGACTGCGCTGTAGTATTTTCCATTGGGGCTGGATAGTAGCAACTGGTTGTGGGTTGAGAGAGCTGATTGGAGGGTTTTAGGGCTGATTTTTGGGGAAAATATGACAGGACCTTTGAGGATTGGGGTTCTGTTCATGTACCCAATAAGGCAACGGACTAGGAATCCGAAGAGAAAAGCTCCAACTAACCCAGTTAAAACCCCTAAAACCACACTAATGATTACCCTTTGCAAAACATTCTTGAGTCGTGCCGGCGGCAATGGCGGGTCCGCAGAAAGATGCCGGAGAGTCCTTTGATGGCAGTTGGCATAAGTATGGGGAAAACAGAGAATGAAGAGGAAAAGCAAGAAGAGAATGTATCTTCCTCTTCTCTCCATTGAACAATGAAAACCCCAGAAAAAAAAAAACAAAAAAATGAGCTCCTCAGAGGATTTAAGAAAGGTTCAAGTTTTTCCGATTGGAAAAAAGAGAGAGGTAAGATTTTTTGAAGGGAAATCCCAGATGAGAGAAAAGGGTTTTCCAGTTGGGTATAAAATAGAGAAAAAAAGATGAAATTTCAAGTAGAAATCTTAGAAAGAAAAACGCAAAGAATCATTTCGCCGCACCAGTAAAACTCTCCCCTTATATACAGAATCATCAACAAACTGAAAACCCAGAAATTATGGGATTCAAAAAAAACTCAAAATCAAGAAATCCTATTAATTACCCAAGAAACAACAAATAATTGTTTCCGAAACACACACTCCCTCTGTGTATATGAAAATAAATGAACAGGAAAAGAAAGACAGGAATGAATGTGTGACATATGTGACTCTTCTTCCCGCCTTTCAGAGTAGTCCCAGGAGGGTTGTGGGGTCCAGGGACACGTAGGCAGTGAAGTCGCTATCACGAGGCCGAAAGCGAAACATCGAACAGTGTGAGACAAGGAAAAATCGTGTCCGTTGATTATGGGGGTGAAGAGATATGGACCATCGGATGAGAACCACGGGAATTTGTGCTTCATTATACAAGTGCACGGCGTCTTATCGTGGGATTAATAAAGTTCTTTGCTTTTTTCTCTTTTTAATCTCCGAATAATTTACTTTTTCTTTTTCTTTCTAATTTTTAATTACCGATAAAGAATTTAATAATTGGTGTCTTTAAATAGGGATATGAGAATTATAAGGGCTAATTTGGTCATTTTACTTGCTATTTAAAAGATATATGAGATAAATTTGTGGGTTATGCAAAAGTACAAAGTAAATATTAGTATAGTTGGTGCTTTTGCTGTTAATAGGTGTTTTACATAGCTTGAAACTTTTTTATAAATTTTAAAAGTGTTTTAAAATAATTAACTAAATAAAATATTTTTTAATTAAAATTTATTTAGTATTTAATAGAAATAATTAGAAAAAATACTGTCATTTTAATCAAATAAAATTACGTATTTAGTTAAAATAGTTTTTGACAGTAAAATTATAAAAAGAGAATAAGAAGATAATAAACTAAAAACAAAAATTATGTGTTTAGGTTAAAATAGCAGTAAACACAGAGCCAATTTAGAAATGTTAATAAAAAAGAGAAACTTAATTTAATTATTATTTATACATTATATTATATTTTTATATAATATGTAATTAATATATATTACAGCTAGAAATATGTTTTACATACATAATATTATATATATAACAGTATACTATATATATACATATATCAATATTTGTTTGTATGCAACAACAACAAAAAAAAGAAATAAAAAAAGAAGAAAATAAAATAAAAGGAAATAAAAATAAAATAAAAAAAATAAAGAAAACCCTAAGGGGTAGAAGAAAGGGGCGGAGAATAAAAGAGGAAGATGTAGAAGAAGAAGAAGAAAAAGAGGAGAGTGCCACTGGCACGCAGAAGGGAGCGCCACAAAACATCGTCACCTGCCGGACGTTCGGAGGTAAGATCGGCGTAGTTCCAACCACCGATCCCCTGTTTTGTCTTCATGTATATATATTTGTATATGTATATGTATATATATAAATGTATGTGCAGTTATAGATATGCATATATGCAGTATATATAAATATAAATATATGTGTGTGATTTAATGCTGCATAAACATATATATACAGCAGATGTGTACGCATTTTATATATATGTGCAGTGTTTATTTTTGCATCTCTATGTGTGTATTTGTAGATAAGTACATATGTTGTGTGTGTATATATATGCGTATTAGTGTAGTTATATATATGTATACATTAGGTATGTGTGTGCATCTTATATATATAAAAATATATATGCAGTGTATTGTATTTGTGTCCATATATACGCACATATATGTTTGTGTATTTGTAAATATGTATATATATGCACGAAATATATATACATGTGTGTGTTGGTGTAGATGTATGTAAACACAGTGGGTATAGGTGCGTGTTTATATGTGTATATATATACATACGGTGTTCATGTACGTGTAGCCTTGTATATATATATATACACACACATGTATAAATGTGAGTCTACATGTGTGTGTGTGCGTATATATATCTATATATATATATATCTTAGTGTATGTAAAAATATAGTAAATAAAATTTAGATTTTGGGACTTTGTAAAAAGAAATGTTGTAGGCAAGTTCTAAAAAGGTTTAGGAAAGTAATGTTAAGCAAAAATTACATTGAGAACAAATTAATGGGTGAAATTAGACTAATAGTAGTTGGATAAAAGAAAAATGTAAAGTCAAGTGAAGTTGGATCCTGATGCTGAAAGACTAAAACTTTCTACACAGGTTTGAGGAATTAGTTTAGAATATAAAATTTGTGAGAATTGATCAGTTTACGGAGTTTAGTTCAACCCTGTAAAATAATAAGAATTTGATCAGTTTTCATTTGAGACTCTATTTTTTTATAAAAATTTTGGTTATTGAATTTAAAATGATTATTTAGAATTTTATATATTATTTTTAAATTATGTCTTGGTTTATATATATATATATATATATATATGAAAAATTTACATAAACGAATGTGGACTATATGTGAACGACTTTATGTAATTGTGTATGTAAATTGATATGGATACAAATATGTAGTGTGTTATGCACATATATGCGTAGTTAAATGTGAAATTTTCTTTTAAAAACTAAGATTTCAAGAATATTTGGGTTTCTGAAGTTGGAATATGAAATAGAAGTAATATTTAAAGAGGAAACAACTTATCAGTTATCATGGGAGAGAGTGTACGAATTTGGTATATAGGGTGAACCCTGTCGTGAATGTGTCCTCAGTCGTACAGAGCTGATAAGTCTCATATCAGAGGAGATTGGGAGTTAGTTTAATTACACTCATACCGAACGAGATATTAAGACGATTTATAATTGTAAAACTCGTTATCGAACGAGGTATGGAGATGGCCGATGAATTATAAAAAATGTATTTTATATGTGACAATATGTAACAGAAATAAAAATTGTAAGTAATCATAGTTTTGGTGAAATGGTAAAAAATTCAAAGTTTCACATTTATTAACATGTGTGTTGACTGTGTTTCTCACTGTGATTTTAACGATATCTTATGATATGTATGGATAACTGTGTGAACTGATAATATTATTTTTTCTGAAAATAAAAACTATCTGAATACGTACCTAACATAGTTGATAGTGTTTGTGAACGAAATGAAATTATCTGAATATAAATCCACTATAATCTGATGATATTTATGAATGAGGATAATATGTACAATATCTAAATATGAACACGTTTAGAATATATAATAAAAAGTATGAGGTTTTTTATTATTTTTTAAGCTTATATTTAACGATAATGATGATGAGTATGATTGTCGGATTTTGGTTTAAATAAAATGTACATATGTTTTATAAATCTAATGTGATCGATGAATGCATGTCTTGTTTATGGGCACTGCCTCTTTTCTTACTGAGCACATAAAGCTCACCTCAATTCACATCTCCCTCATTGCAGATTAGCTTAGATCAGGAGCATGTTTAAAGTTGAAAGAAAACTCTGGATGAAATTTTAGAGACTTTGTGAGTATAGCTTTATAAAATAGATTTAATTACATTATAACAATATAATGTAAAGAGTTTTGGTGAGTCTCATGATTTATTATTTCGTACAAGGGATATATGATTGAATTTTAAATTTTAGAACATTGTTGCACATATTTATCAGGTTATATGCATGGGTTAGTGCTCATTTTTATTTAGAGAAAGTGAATTATTATAGTTGGTATCAGAGTCGCGTTTCTCGAAACCATCCGTTATATCATGAGGGTTAAGATTCTTGTGAGGAAATTAGGTAATATGAATCTTAAGAGAGGTTTTATTAAATCTGGGAATCAAAAGCTTTTAGCTTCACTATGAATTGGAGAAAGTGAACGAAGCAACTTCCACCGAAAAATTGATATAATAGAAGCAGGAGACAAATATGAAGTAAAGTGTTAGTTTATTCTAGGATTCATCTCTCTTAAT